GGCGCCGCCGTGGAGGTGGGCGTTGGAGCAGCCCTCGGCCGCCTTGGCGCCGCCGCCTCCCGCGCCCGGAGAGGCCCGCGGGTCGGCGCCTCCGGCCCGCAGCACCAGCTCGCAGCGGCCGTCGCTGTCGTCGTCGGGGCTCTGCTCGCCGCCGCTGCTCTCGGCCACCGAGCCGCGGCTCGCACTCTCGCCGTATTTGAGGCACAGGGCGGCCCCAGCCGGCAGACTGCTCAGGCTAGGGTCGCCCCCAACGCCGGCAGAGCCCACGAGCAGCCCGGGGACGCCCACCCCGCCGCCGCCGCCGCCGCCGCCTCCCGCGCCGCCGCCGCCTCCCCCAGGCGGTGGCAGCAGCAGCCCTGCCCCCTCGGGGTCAGCCGGCTCGAAGCAGCCCAGGGGCGAGGAGGAGGACGACGCCGGGCGCTCCCGGGGCGGCGGCGCCAGGGACAGGTCCATGCCCGGGGGCGTGGAGCGGAAAGCCGCCTCCAAGCGCTTTGCGGTGGAGGCGCTCAGGCTCTTGTGCAGAAAGAGGTCGTCTTCGCCCGAGGCGGCTGCGCCGAGGTGCAGCCCGCGCTCCATGGTCCGGCGCCGGCGCACAGCCCCGGCCCGCCGCGCCGGCCGCCGCCGCCTCGGCTGGGGAGTCAGGCGGCGCCGCAGACGCGCCCGAGCCGGGCTCCTGGGCTGGTGCGCGCGTCGGTCCCGGTGCTGCTGGCAGCCCTCTCCCCTTCTTTTTCTTTTTCGCCTTCCCCCGCGCTCTCCGCCTCCTCTTCTTCTTCTTCTTCGTCTCCAGCCGATGGTGCTGGCTGCTGGGGCTCACCATGGGCCGCGGCCCCGCATGGTGGGAGGGTGGGCGCGGAGGGAGTGGAGCCGCCGCCGCTGCCGCCGCCGCTCTGAGCCCAGCCCCGCGCCGCCTCTCCGCACCGTTTATCTTGCTTGGATTCACCTTCAAGAGATTTCCGGACCCATCAACCAGCCGCCGCCACAGACGGGGGAGTCTTTTACATCATTATCTCTGAGTAGGTTATTATGAAGAAGACTCGCCTGTTGGGACAGCGCTTTCTACCCAATCAGGTTAACGTTTTAATTAATAGGATTAAAACGGTAACAAACAATCGCAGGCGCTATCTGGCCGCGAGTCTGAATAGTTTCATTTCCCAGGTCTGAAGACAGGCAGCAGCTAGAGCTTTATAAAAGGCGCCTGCTCCATTATTCTGCGTGCCATCTGTATACACAGCTTAGCGCATATGTTTGCAAGGCGCTGGGTCCTGTTAGTAACCCAACAACTGCCTTTAGCTTGACATGTGTGGCGACTTTCACTCATCAATGAGCACACTAAAAGCCCTACTTAGAGCCGAGGATGTTCTTTGCTCCTTCAGCAAATTGTGGCTCGGCGGCAAAGCCTGGGAGTCCCGGGGAGAGCAAACGCCCCCATCCGCCGCACCCCACCCCCACTGCCCTTCCCTCGCCACTGCTGTCTCATCTTGTGCTAAATTACCCTTCCGGGAGAGAATTATACTCCACCCCTGTTCGTGGAATGATCTGGATTTGGTGACGGGACTTTCCGGGGGGGAGGGGGCGAAGTAGTGTCCCGCTGGTTTGCCGAAAATTCACCCAAGATTCTCAGCTAGTAAGGGAGCAAAGCAGTCGTATCCCTGGAACACACTGCCTTATTTCCACCCCGCACGCCCATTGCCCATTTCCTATCCGGATGACAAAAAAAAAAAAAAGAAAAAAAAGATTATGCAGCCCATTAGATTAAAAAAAAAAAGGAAGAAAAGAAAGAAGGAAGGGGTGCTTTTTCAGCGGTCTCCAAATGACTGTGACAGTGATGGTGATCACGAAGCATATGATTTCCTACGCGGGAGAAAACTGATTTCTCAAACTTTCCTCAAGATTAAAATCCAGTTGTTTCAGAATAGTCAACTCCACCAGGAGTCAAATCCTCTCACACACCAAGTGGGGCACTTGAGCGTATTTATTTACCCGGAGACATAACCGACAGCCAGGAAGCCATTCAGGGACATCTGGATGTGCCTCGGTTGTTCTTGGAGGGCTGGGAAGGGAGAGCTGTGAAAACGAGTGCTCCTTTCCGGATGGGAAATGGTACACGCGGTCCTCTAGCTCCTGAGTTCGATCTGGGAGCACATGGTATTTAGCGGCTGGTTTTCATCCTTATGACATAAGTAAAAACAATATTTCCCAACGCCTCCGATAAATCTTTCTTATGTGGCAGAATTACTGAAGCCTATGAAATTTTTGGTTTCTCTGGTTTCATTAAAAACCTTTTAATTGTGGCTTTCAGAGTTGGCCCCAGGTGTTGGACTCTTTTCATTACATTTTGCTCTAATGTGATGAAATTCTAATTCTCTCCTTACCATATGGTTAAATTTCCCCACTGAGAATTAGTTGAAAAAGGAGAAATAATCTATTAATCTCTGTAATAGATTCACAAATGAGGTTCGCCACAGAACCTGTTTTTGAATGGTAATATCAGAACAGTTGGGCGCCTTATTTCATAAAGGAGGGGTGAGGACGACACCGAGGCGTCTGCATTTTCACCTGGAAAGAATGAAAAGGGGCTCTGCGGCATCTTTCCAAAATAATTGCCTGAGAGTCAGGCTCAAGGGGACACAACTACTACGCTGTCGTCGGTTACTTTCGCGCCTTCGGATTTACTGGAATCCGAAGACTGAGAAAATGCTATCGGGCTGTGGGAAGCTATCCAGCCGAGGACCCAGGCCGGGGGTTCTGGAAGGCTTGAGCCGGCCCACGTGTCTCGCTGGGGGCTTAAGAGCACGTTTACGTGCAGGGCGGCCTCTCGCTCCCCGCTTCCCTCCCACTTTCCCTCCCCCGGCGCTTGCAGCTGTTAACCTCTCCCTTTAGGAAGCTGAAGACACGCTCCTGGTGCTGCTTCTCAATTAGCAGCTTTGTTTTCACCGGGATCATAAACAAAGGTTCTCTGTAAACATAGGTGAGCCTGGTGTGTGCGTGACAGTAACTCCCCAAAGTCCTCTGGCTACTTACCGAAGGACTGAGACTGGCACCGTCGCGTCTCTGGCCGGAGTGGCGACACGTCCCCGGATGTCTGACGTGGTTCTCCATCCAGCCTGCCCATCTTGTGGGCCCGCACTGTCTGCGCTACGCCTGCGTTCCTGATGGCCCCTCTGTGGGCACTAGACGGGCAAAGGATCGACCATGCCCGAGTCCGGTAGAGTTCGTGTTTGGCTGCTGGCCGCCACACAGGGCCATGCCCCGCAGGGCCGAAATGGCCGAGCTGGAGCACCACGCAAGGTGGCAAAGGCACCGCCCGTCCTGGCTAGACCTGGGGCCCTGGCCGGACCCCGGTCCATCGGCGCTATTGTATAACTCAGCACCGAGGAGAGCACCTCGTGGCCCTTCCCAGACCTCACCTCCATTCCTTCCCCTCTTCCACCTCCCTACTCTTCCCTGGCCACCCAAACTTCTGGAACAAACTTTTGCACAACTTTATTTCACTTAGTAGGAGCCAAAAACCTCTCTCTTAGACGGTTCAAGAAAATCCCCCCGGTCTCCCCGGAGGAGGTGGTTGCTTAATAGTCACTGGAAACTTAGCTTTGGGAAACTGCCGGAGAATTTATAGAAGCTCTGAATGTGGGCCTTATAACAACCGTTGGGGAGTGCTCTTTGAGGTTTATGCACTCGTAAACTTTTGCTGATTGCTTCTGGGAAGTTGTCAGGCACTTAACACTGCATTTATCTTACAAGGCAATGAAAACACATCTGCCTGGTGTCTCGTTACCTGGTTTAATCGTCACCACCCTCAGTCATGGCCTAGACTCCCTCTCCTCACTTGAGTGGGATCCCACCGCCTGGTTTCTACCAGTGGAGGACTGGCGTCAGCTGCTCTGGCCGCAGGAACTCTGGATAACTGTGCTTGAATTTTATTCTGCCAAGAAGCTGAGAAAGGACCCGGGCTCCCGATGCAACTAGAAAATTAGGAAGGTAGCAGTGAACAAACCAAAATAAACACCTCCAGTGGCTGCCCGGGAAGAAAGGGTAGGAAATGAGACCGCGGCGAAAACTCCTGACCCACAGATGACCCCTTGAGAATGATGCATAGGAAGTTAAATACTCGGACTCAGCAGTTTCAGAAAAGGTCACTGTGAGTTACCTAAGCAATTGGGGGACAAGAAACACGAGGGACGTCTCCTCCGTCCCCAGCAGGGTGGAGGCGTATCAAGCCCTTCCGAGGGCCGCAAGAGCGGGTGGACATCAGGCACCAACGTCCAGCAGGGTGCCCTTGGTGCTACCCGGGTTGATGCCGCCAGGCTCGTAGCCTGACACACGTCCGGCCAGGGAGCTTTCTCTGCTGCGTGTTGAACACCAAATGTACAGACGCCGGAACATGTTGTGCAAAGATGAATACAGTTTTGTTACAGCAGGAGGGAACATACCTACCGCTTTGAAAGGATTCTAAAATATTCAGCAACCAGCACCCCAGTGAAATTACAGCACTGAACTTCAAACTAATTTTTTAGGTCATAATTAAATTTCTTAGTGGTCATCTTTATTAATATTTGCTTGAAATTTGAAATAGGAACCTAAATAAAGTAAGAACAGAGCACAATCCAACGTACTTTGAAAGAGCAAACCCAGGAGTTGTTCTTTGTTGTTTCTATAGCTCTACTGAACAGTTTACTTATCTAGATTTAAAAAGTTAGGAGCACCCCCCAACACTGGGATTTGGGTGTCAGTCTGTGTTTTCTGAAAGGGAAAATTGTCTTGTGTGTGTGTGAGAGGGAACATTCTAAAAAGGAAAAGCAAAGTTTGCCAAAAATGACATGAACTTTCGCTTGGGAGCTGTTCTGAAAGACCAAATTTCCTGAGAGTGATGGGAACCCTCTCCGGGTTGCCCCTTCCTGGAGGAGCCCAGCCTGGAGGGTCGCAGGTGGCCACAACCGCGGAGAACCCAGCGCGGCTCCATCTGGGGAAACCGCCCCAGGAGTGCGGTCTCCGAGCCCTCCCGGACCGTATCCAAAGCGCGCAAGCAGGGCGTGCCCCCAGCGCCAATCAGAGGCGCGCTGACCTTGAAGTTTCATTTGCCCCTCGCCAGCCCAGTGCTGTCTGGTGGCACTTGGGTCAGCTTGAAGCCTGTACCGCTGGGGTTCATCGTCCCGATCCTCGCTGCGTTTGGGAAAGCACGATCCATTCGGTGGCAGAAAGACTCAAGCCCATCAAGCGCCTGAAGTCAAGCCTTCCTGTGTCATTCTGTCATCAGTATTTTCTCACCCTCTTCGCCAGGTGCTTCTTACACAGCTCACTTGCAGAGACGTGCCCGTGGTTCCACGTGTGTCCTGGGATTGGCGGGGCTAATGAAGAGGGCAGCGAGAGTGCTGGGGCTACCGGAGCTGCAACATTCCTGGCAGCGCGCCAAGGGCCCCAGCACTGCAATTGCTCAGAAGCGCTTGGCAATTCCAAGGACTTCGCCCAGGAAAAAGTTGAAACCTGTTGATCTAAAAATAAAGTTCTTTCAGGAAGATCTTCCTTTATTTTAAAGAAAAGAGGCTCATCCTCACGACTGTTTGAACATAGAAGGGAAACCCTCGGCCCCGGAGAAACAGCTTTTTCAGCACGACTGTGAGACCCACAAGGGCGCGCTGGTGGGTTTCCTAGCTCGCCACCAAGGGCCCACTTGGCTTCCGCGAGGGCTTTCCGATTGTGGGGACTCTTAAGGGGAGGGGCGCAGGAAGGCAAGCAGAAAAACTTCACGCTTGCCTGTCACTTCAGAGACCCCAGAGAAGGAGATGGAGATAGAGGAAGACTAGTGAAGTTTCTGGAAGAGTTCATTCCCTCCTTGGTTGCATTCCCGCATTCGGTTGCACTCCCTTAGGGCTGATACACTTATTTGTTTCCTCCCTGGAACCCTTATCTTCATCGAATGTTGGAAAGCATTTTTAAAAGACAAATTGTTCGCACGAAAAAAGGTGAACAATTTTAAGGCTTGCCTTGTGTCCATCAATTAAGAAACACTGCCGAGAGTTCAGTTTGGCTGTGGGATTTTAGCGCTGCGATTTAAAACCCACAGCGCCATCTCCTGGCAATGAGGAGAATAAAGAGGTGGATGACAATACTATTTAAACGCTGAATATGAAATATTCAACTATGAGTCACTTGATTTTACGCCTCCAAAACTATTTCTGTGATAAATTGATTACGATTGCAAGGCGTGAGCTGGAAATTTGTGATCATTTAAACAATCCTGGAAGCTAATTATTTGTAAATAGAAGTTTGCATGTTATATTTACATATACGTAGTTTTTATAGGTGCAGATATAGTTCTTATTCTGAGGATTGGTAATAAAGTATGATTCCTTATCATATATACATAATTTTAAGGAAGAAAATATCCACAGATTAATTTCTAAATCAGGATTTTAATTAGTCATTTTATGCAAAAGATACTGTAAC